TCCAAGCGAAAATAAAGTATTCTACAGTATGTATAATTGACTTTATTGTTCAGACATACTTGTAGATTGATTATGGTAATTACTGATTGATTGTATCAGAATCCAGTCATTTGATAGCGACTGTTATTGATTACCTGACTTTAAACACAAGGGAGTATCTCGCAAGTTCTCACTAACCAACCTTTGATTACAGATTACTTTTCACACACATATAAATAAGTAAATTATTTAATATTGTATGCGCATAGCTAAGTGATTGATTAATGTTCTAATTCATATCACTGTATGAGCAAAGTTACTTGTAAGTTAAAAAAAAAAATCCATATGGACGTCTACTCTGGATGTATCAGTAGATAAATTGAGATCATCCTGGGGTTACTTCCTGCTTGTAGAGTTGTTTATTTCATGTAACCTTTGTATAAAAGTGCTGCAAGGCTGTCTGATCTATAGAGGAATGCATATACTGTAGAATACTTTATTTTAGTTGGAATTAATTTTAATTAATTTTAGGTGTTTTCACTGATTGTTGGCGAGTTGAATATAAAATATAGGAAAAAAGGTATATTCGCTGGATTTTATTTTCACAGAGTCATTCCTGCAGCTAAAATAGCGAAAATTAATTCCAAGCGAAAATAAAGTATTTTACAGTATATGGATCAAACAGACCAAGTCTATTTGCTGCATATACCAGTAACTATTCTAATGCTTCGAGGAACTAATAATTTTTTTTTCAGGTGGCTGAATTCGGTTTAGTGGGTTTTAGGCTATGGTAACGTATTTGTAGAATTAAATATTTCAGTGGAGGTACCGATAATTTCAGATCAGACAGTGTGTGAATCCTAGAGACAAACAGAGAACGTACACTGTGATGGATTGACAGCATTCGGCAATTTTTTTTTCTCGGATTTTTATGTTTAAGAAAACATTTCCTGTGTCATTGGTGTTGATTTGTAATCGCCATCACTGAAATTTTGGACAGTGAAAGCGCATAGCTTATACGCTATATACCAAAATTACAAGTGTAAAGATGGCCGTGGGTTGCATCCAGGTCCTCTGAAAACGCCATTTATTGAAATCTAATTTTGTTGAGCAAACCTCAGAGATGTGGTACAGGATGACAACATACTTGGCTCTGTCGCTAGCTTGAGATGCTTAGTCTCTCTCTGTCGGCCGCACACTGGTGATTTCATGTGCCAATTCGCATAATAGTGCGTTATGTGTCATCATTTTCTACAGTTCCCATCACACAAAAAATCTCAATAAAAATAGTCACTGCTCGACCTTCAGTTTTCAGTTCGTCCATGCAAATGTATCATCAATATTTTGATAAGATTTTTCATCTTGTATTTAAACAAAATTAGAGAAATTGTCCACTATTAAAGTAATTTTGAAATTCTGATTTTTTCATCTTTATGTAGTTTTGAATTGTCCAAGTAGTAAAAGAATTTTGAAATTCTGTAATTGCTGTGTTACAATGTAGTATATCGCATACGAGTTGTTCTTATAATTGTTGAGACAAGTAATATTTTAATAATTCAGTATAAAGCAAATGGGTTTATACGGGTTTCTATTCGAGATGTGCTTCTAATAGAACAAATACATTGTATTGGTGTTGAATTTTATCCTCAATGTATATTCCATTTTTATTCCATTCCATGTATATTTCCATGTTTATTCCATTCAAACATGCCCTTGCATTCCCTGTGTTATGATATCCCAACTATTTTACTCTCCAATTACACCTCTTTTATGGAAGCTACATGTGATTATAAAAGCTTTGCATTATCCACTGTGTAATAAGACATTGTTTGAAAAGTTTGGAAATTGGCCAATTTTGAAATTTTGTTTTTAAGTGGCTAATTTATTCGATCAATTTTTTTTTTATGTTTTTTTTTTCTTGTGGGTGATGAGAAACTGAAATCTATGTTCCTTATTCATTTGTACATTGCTGACTAAATGATAATGATGACAGACGTGGACAAGGATTTATATTAATGTGACAAACATCAATGCCACTTTACTGAGAGAAGTAATGTCTAATGTGTGCATATACAAAAACTTGAATATAGTTTCTCATATTTGATACATAATTTCTCATATTTGATACATAATTTCTCATATTTGATACATAATTTATCATATTTGATACATAATTTATCATATTTGATACATAATTTCTCATTTGATACATAATTTATCATATTTGATACATAATTTATCATTTGATACATAATTTATCATATTTGATACATAATTTATCATATTTGATACATAATTTATCATATTTGATACATAATTTCTCATTTGATACATAATTTCTCATATTTGATACATAATTTCTCATTTGATACATAATTTCTCATTTGATACATAATTTATCATATTTGATACATAATTTATCATATTTGATACATAATTTCTCATTTGATACATAATTTATCATATTTGATACATAATTTCTCAAGTTTTATGATAACCCCCATACTGTACTTGCTACTTTTCCTAACACTAAGCTTTTCAAATACACTCACTGGGAAATAAATTCTGATTATAGCAAATAACTTTTTCAATACTTTTATGTTTTTGCATTTGCATAGGAATACTTTTGATGATCTACATAAACTCTGATTTGGTAATACAAATACAATTTGTCTTGGTTTATGTCAAAAACTGCAGTCTATTCAAGCCGTATATCAAAATTACCACCCCTGATGTTTTTTATGAGTTCAGAGATATTTAATAGTGTAATCGTTTGACATCAAGATCCAGTACAAACATAACTGACACTAGCTTTTGACTTCATATGCAATTACTCTTAACTACCTTACTTACACTTTTAGTGTAACCAGGTGGTTACCAAGACCAGATATACTCTTTTTGTGTGAACATGGAGACCAGGAGGTTACCAAGACCAGATATAATCTTTTTGTGTGAACATGGAGACCAGGAGGTTATCAAGACCTGGCTTGCACTTTTGTGTGAACATGTTGACCAGGGGGTTACCAAGACCAGGCTCACTCTTTCAGTGTGAACATAGTTACTAGGAAGGTTACGAAGACCAGGCTGAATATTTGAGTGTGAACATGTTGACCAAGAAGATTACAAAGACCAGGCTTTCTATTTTAGTGTGAACATGTTGACCAGGAAGATTACAAAGACCAGGCTTACTCTTTTACTGTGAACATGGAGACCAGGAGTTTATCAAGACCTGGCTTGCACTTTTGTGTGAACATGTTGACCAGGGGGTTACCAAGACCAGGCTCACTCTTTCAGTGTGAACATAGTTACTAGGAAGGTTAGCAAGACCAGGCTCACTCTTTCAGTGTGAACATAGTTACTAGGAAGGTTAGCAAGACCAGGCTCACTCTTTCAGTGTGAACATAGTTACTAGGAAGGTTACCAAGACCAGGCTGAATATTTTAGTGTGAACATGTTGACCTGTTTTATAAATTGTCTCTTTAATTAAGAGCAGGTTTTTTACTATGTCCTCATAACTGGCATAAAATGTCATTAAAAAGAGATGCTGTTAAATAAATATTTGTATTTGGTTTGTAAATTGTCCTGAATTCTTGACACAAGTGTTATTAATGGTACCTACATATAAGTCACTGTGTATATGTCAATTGATGCATATTTATATTATGACTGAACCCATCGTAAATATAAGGTCTTACTCAACCATTAACAATCAGTTTTTTTTTTTTTTTTGGTAACTAAATCTGAATTTGTAACCGTTAATTTAAACAATATACTGAGAGCAGTTATTGAAGAGATTATGAATACAAATATTTGTATAAAACAGTTTAAACTTGCTTTGTTTTTTTTCCGTTCAATTCTATGAATACTATAATTTTTTCCCATCACAGTTTTGTGCTACATTTAACATAATTTTATGTTATTTTTCTATGATTTCTGTTGATTTTGAATACAAATACAAAATTTACCATTACACACACAGGTCTGGTAATTAATGTTTTTGAAAAATTTTTTCAAAATAAGTCAATAAATGCATTTTTTTTTATTTAAGTGCACTTCTATTAGGGCAAAAAAAAATTTAAATGAATTATTTTTTCAAAATTTTAATTTAAATAAATTGACAACAATTACATTATAAAATTTTTGCTAAATTAGCTACATCTTTAAATATTGAAAAATACAATTATAGCTAAATTGACATGCTAGTTAAACAATTGTATATTACAGTAAAGAAACTGTTAGAAACTGTAAAGGAAAGTCCGTTGCACCTTTGCAATGTCGTCATTCATCAAGTTGTTATAGCAACATCATTACATGTACATTAAAATGTTGAATTTTACATTTCTTATAGTAGCTATGTTAGAACCAAGTGATTACTGTCATATGTATGCTTTATATATGCCACAATTATCACTTTTGCTGTGAATACTCAACTTTCACACCGAATGCCGCTGTCAGACGTTTGTCATGCTTCACTGATTTCTACAGCCCACAGAGATGAGTCGTGACGTATTCGTTGATTTTGAACTCGGTTGAACTTTTCAGTCATTTACCTGAAAAATCAGATCTGTACAATTTACTAATAAACAAAATTGGACATACCATAAAATCTGTATTAGAAGCCGCATCCCTAAAAGATGCCGCACCCATTCTTTTTGAACAGTTGAGACTCAAAAATTGTGTAGATGCTCTAATAGAAGCCGCATCCTGTCTATTCCTTTATACCATTTCAATAGAAGTCGTGGCTTCTATAACAGATTTTACAGTAATTACACAACAATTTTATTTATGAAGAATCTTAGGTAATATATCATCAAACAGTGGTTAGAGATATATTATGAGAGATTTCACTCAGTATTTCAAATTATATTTGTTTTCCACCTTTCACGACAGTTAAAACGAAATATCTTGAATCGTAAAACAGCCGGTGTATTGAAAGTGACGTGATCCATCAATACTTTACACAACCTGACAAACTATTAAAATTATGTTTATCTTTTTTTTTTTCCCTCTTATCTCAATAGCTCGAGAAGCATGACAAAATAACCGATGTCAAAAAGATGAGGACGGAAAATGAAATGGATTTAGAAGCTGCAACTTTGAGAGCACATTTCAAACCTGAATTCACTGATCATATGGAATCCCAAGATTGTTCAAGCTGAAGGCTGTGTTTAAAAAAGGACTCGTAGTTGCAAAGAAAGTCAGTTAAAATGGAATTGGGTAAACATTGATGTGTAGAGATTAAGCAAATCCATATTTTTTCATCGATAAGTGTTATGCTTATAGAATACTTATAAATAAATCCATATATGATCGTTGATAATGGCAGGTATCTCCAATCCAGGGTTATACAATGTACATTACTCATACAAGACATCCATGACGTCAAAAATGCTCCATTTGGTAGCCATGACAACAGTTGTCTCATTGCCCAGGTAGATAAGAGATGATATCACCTCATTAAATTAAAGAGATATGGATGAAAAAATGCAAAAAATCATGTAGATGAAGATAATGGAGCACGGATCATCGGCAACACTCGTCGTTTATAGATCATTAAAGATGGCCGAGACTTCAGTCAGTGCAGTTGGAAGGATAAAAAATGATAGTGCTCTTAAAATCCATCCATTCAGCATCCATTTATTAATACCATGCTCGTCTTGCACGGAGAGGCGAAAAATTGACTTTTAGTACAAAGCTGTAAATGTAGGTATTATATAGTACACAAGATGCAAACTTTTCTAAGAATTTAGAAATGTTTCTATTGTTAATTCCCATCAATAATACTTGTATGTTTTCTGTGTACTTCTTGTCAATATATTTGAGCAAAGCAACTTAATGTGACAGATACTCGACAATATGTTCGATGGGATAATGTCAGATACGACTCCAGATTAGAGGATTACCTTTTTGTAAAGGTGACTCAAGTTGAGAGAAAAAGGCAAAGGTCATATAAGGTTTATGTTTTGCCAATATGAATTTTTTTAAATAAAAAATAAATCAACAATTTGTAAATAGAAAATTACATATTAAGTCGGTGACAATTAAATCTGTTGCAATTAAATGCAGTATTCTGCAGTGTACGTTTTGAAAGTTCCTCTGCCTTTTTGTGGCATTCATCTATTTTTGCAATTGTTGTTCCCTATTTTTATATGCCCAGTGTTTCTAGAATGCCTGTTTGAAAGTAAAACTGCATTTCTGATCAACTGTCTTGGTAATGATCAACGTAACATTGCAACTCTGCAAGATGCGTGCATATTTGGGTGCTCCACTAAGTACTGACACACTAACCAAATACAGAAATGTACTATATCATGGAATTGATGGTTGAACATTTGAAGTTACTGGTACTAGTGCATATGACTATGAGCCACAGTGATCTCTTTCTGTCATATTGGATTTGGGGAGTGTATGTGTGAGGTATAATCATTTGGTTTATCAACAGAACAACAATCACCTTTCCAGTTCTGAGTATTACAATAGTAGTGTCACTGTAATGTCAAGTAATTTGTGTGCTAGCTTGTGTGCGAACTATTCTCATTTTTAAAAAAAAAAATTGTTAAAGTTATTTATAAACTGTTTGTTTTCAGTTGTTTTTTTTTTATTCATGTAATACTAAGCTGTTCTGATACCAAATAAACCCACATAGAGTAAAATGTTTGTATGTTCATGTACATATGGAAACAGAACCTATATTGCAGAAAAAAATTAGCTGTAATATTCATAAATACATACTATGTGTATTGTCACAATTGGTTTTCTCATTTGATACAAAAAAAACACTATTTTGGCTGTGTGTTACATAAATTAACCTTTCCACCACCAGACTTCCTCACCCAAATTTTTTCATACTTTTTCCCAATACTCTTCAATATTTCTTGAAATGAACCATAATTTTGGAGCCAACAGACAAAATTTGAGTAAATCTTTAGTTTTTACTCAAAATATTTGTATATTTTGTGAACTTGTGATGAAAATAAGAAACTGGTGGTGATAAATTTATAGAAAAAAAGGTTTTAACCAGGACGCCATCAAATTATTCAATTGTTAAGAATCTGTGTATGAGAATTGATGATGCTGTCTGTTTTCATCCAATACATTAATCATTTTATACCAGCAATTAATTATCAAGAGACAAAAAATTGTATTTCACACCTGATCAAACCTGCTATTAATGTTTAACTATTTTATTCCTCAAAGTCAAGGTAATGTTGATCTCTTAAAAAATATAAAAATTAAATTATTCTGATTTTTCTTTGGTTTTCCTTTTCTCCAAAATAAGGTGTTTATAATGACCTGGAAAATATCTATCAGTTGAATTATTTAATGTTTGAAGTTACAATTCAAAATCAGCGATTTGATGTCAGAGGTCATTTTTGGTTAATTTACGATTATTGAAATAGCTCATTTACATAATTGTACTCCAACCTATGCATCTAAATTATATACATTGTTTCCAACAAATCATTTGCATAATTTGGTTCATTCTCTACATTAAAATTTGTTTTCGTCCCATTTTAAGACCTACATAAAAATGCTACTTTTACAAAAATCTTCTCCAGACAGACAGATAGACTAATAGTTTTTCCACATGATTTACACCTTACAACATTTATTTAACTCCAGTGGGCTCAATTATCCTCAAAACCGCTGATTTTGTAATTTTAATTTGTGAACAGGGACTCGGCTCAACCATATAGACCCTAGAGATCGTATCTTCTCATGGGTCTATGACTAAACATTCATCATTACGTTAAAATAACTGTAAGATTTATTGACAATTCTCATGGGAAATCTTCTGATATCTCCTATGTGTGATTGTAAGATGTCAGTTTTGACATAAATAACTGTCCTGTGTGCACTTACATAATATGCAATTGGATTATTGCTAAAAGACCACAGACTCCTGTGTCTTTGATGTTGCCAAGTCATGAAACCATCTTACAATTGAATGACAAAATGTGAATTCATAGTTTATTTATTCATAGACTAATCATAAATGCGGAGCCCAATTACAGGATGGCAATTAAACAAAAAGTTTAATAGAATATGACAAACGTACAATCTAAAATATTGTGTTAGCGAGTGCTTTTTCGACGTTTGATTTAAATTTACTAATTGAACAAAAAAGATCTATATTAGCAAGAAAATTATTACAAGCGTTGTGCAATCTAAAAAAGTGTTCAAGACAATATGGTGGTTGACAGAAATTGGACTTAGGTGGATACTGCCACTGATTTTTGTTATGGCACCCTCAGGTGGCAAGTACCCTCCTCCAAACAGCAGTTGGTCATTTCTCAAGGGACTGTCACATAATTCTGGTATTCTGCCATCTGACCTTACCTTTGTTACATGTTGCATGCATGGTGTAATTCTGTTGGGATAATTCAGATTGCCAAAAGTGATAATTTTGTTTACATGGCATCTGATTTTGATTTCTATGCTTGCCTGATCCTTGTTTTAAAGGCTTCAGGTCAAATAGGCCAGTGAATTTCCCACTCTGAACTTGTTCAAGATGGTCACACCACACTTTATTAGAGAGTCAGTCACTGAATCTTACAGATGCTTACTTACACATTCAAGTGCACCCAAGACAGCCAATCACTCCTAAGGTTTGTGGTTGAGGGAACCAACTCTATTGTTTGGTCTTTGTTTTGCACCACCAGTGTTCACAAAATGAGCAAATCGGTGGCAGTTCAACTCCACACCAGAGTCAGCTTTGTGTACATTTACATAGATGACTGATTTCTCCATCAGCCATCACAGGAGACCCTATCTGAACATTTTCAGATTTCACTGGTATTTCTGTGGTCGCTGGGATTTGTAATCAACCTGGGAAAGTTTCAGAGATAACCCAATATATGGTTTACATGGGGATGGAAATAGGCACACAGGAGACAGTCTTAGGTCTTTAATACAGACAATCACCATATCTAAATCAAGCAATACACAACTCTACTTGCTGCCTAGCTGACTACTAGTACTCCAATTGATGAGCTCAGTTGGAAAGGTTTCGTCTGTGAAGGGCCTGGTGTTGCCTGCAATACCCGGACTAAGATCTATTCACCAAATCCAGTTGGACATATCAATATACGTGAGAGATCAGTTCCATCGTTCAGGGCAAGTACCTGGACCTTCCTGTCAGATTGACAAGTGCCAGCATGCCCTGCAGTAGTGGAACATTCTGACCCCTTAGTCGAGATGCCCTTCATTCCACCTCATCCAACCATCTCAGTTCTGATGGATGCTCTGGACGCAGGCTATGGGTGCACATGATGCAAACGCAGAACTTTGAGACAACCTTTAGTCCTTTGGACAAATCAACTAGGAGAAGCTAGAAGACGGCTATGCTCGTGCTACAAGCTTTTCTGCATTCTTTTTAAGGTACAACAAGTCACCTACTTCAACAAGGAATGACACAACATGGTCCTCACCCGCTTGCCATAAAGATAATCTGCTGGTGTACTCACATCAGGCGCATTCACAACATCATCACTGACACACTGTTGGCAAACTAGTTTGCCAATACCGAGTGATGTAAATGCGTATTTGAGACTACTCTGATACTCTGCATTCTCTCCATTTCCACTTATAACGTGCACGCAAGAAACTGTCTCTGATAGTGCCTATCTGGCCAAGTCAGATTTGGACCTTCGTGTTGTGGTCACTTTTGCAGAACACTTTAACCCACCACCCAGAGTTGCTAACAATCTTCGCACGTATTTTTCAGGTTATGCTTACATCAGTAGAGGGGTTTTCAGTGACTCTACCAGCGACGTGCATTATCAAACTTTGTGTCTTTGGGTAGAAACATCCCTGAGAGTAACGCTGTACTATCAAGACACTGATGGACCACTGCGCACGGTCCTGCCACCCAATCCTAGTACTGCAGGCGTCTTGTAACCAAGATTCTTACTAACAACATCATGCAGCATTGTTGGTCGCTTTTTTTCTTTTAGCCTGGCATCAGGCAGTATTAGTTTGCTAACAACTCAACTGTCTTTCTAGCTGACTCCGTCACCTTGTAAACGAATCAGATGCCAGGTGAACCGACCATCCCCATTTAGATCTTTCAGTTGATACAGACTCCAGATTAAGTGAAGAGCAATATGACAAGTTTCTTTGTTGCAAGCAGAGATACGACTATGGTTACAATAGTCTGTACTGTATTCAAATTGTTGCCACTATTACAGTTATTAAATGTATGTTTTATTCATAAATATGCTAATAACGCAACATATTGCTCAATAAATGCGGAAAAAGCCCAAGTGTTATCAAAGCCCGTTTTGGACCCCGTCCGCCCGCCAGTCCGTAGCCGATCACATTCCAATCTGCTTGCAACAAAGAAACTTGTCGACCTTTAGAAATTCTTGGGGGGAGATCGTGGATTTTGGAGAGAAAACAAATCCACGCAAAACTTGTTAAGAAAATGGATATTTATAAAAATCACTTGGAAAAATTACAGTAACCTAAGAATGAAAAGAAATCTAGATCAAAACTGAGTGAAGGAAAGAATATCACACTCTTTTCCTTCTGCAGTGTTTCCAATTGCAATTTCATAGCATTAGCGGATAAATACAGCCTGTATAGAACTCCACCGTGACTGTGCCCAGTTAACTTTTAATCTCTCCTATGACACTGGCTCGCTTTGCAAGGTAATGTGCTGTGCCAAACAGTAGCGGTACTACTGGAACTTGCATTCATTTAAATTTATATCAACGAGTAATTTCAAGCGTTTTGAACAAATCTAATGTGAATATTAATAAATGTCCAGAAAACAAATTGTGAACACGATTGGAGAGAATAAATAATAAGTCTCACCGACTCTGAGAAAGTCGGGTTCTCGCACAGTCTCGCCAACTGCAAGAAAGTGACAATTTCTCGTTCTTGTCTGGCATTTATTTGTCAATAGTGATGTCTCAACAGATCACCGATGCGCGAACAAGTTGGCAGTCAAAATGACAAAATATGATTATTTGTTTTATCAGACTATAGACGCCATCATTAAAAATAATGAATGACTGTAAAGAGATATGACACTGGGATGATCGATTTACAATTAATGATTGATCGTAGACAAGCATGGTATATTCTTCATTTCTGTTACTTAGCTTCGAGTTAGACATCTTATAAGGTGACGCTGCTCTAATTGTTTGCTTTGAAATTCTTCTCTCAAATGTGCGTGGGTGTGTATTTTTGTTCATGTATGTTCGTGTAGGGATTTCCCCCTCAAATTTGCAAGTATATGAACAATGTCAATAAACAATGTAAATTGCGTGTGTTTACCTTCTTGATATCACTATTGTTCAGCTACGTATAACATTAACCAGCAGATGTGGAGTTAGTAATCACTGAAAATTGAAACTGTCAGACTCAAACAGATTGCAGTAAATTATAGAACATGTGACCAATGTACACAAAACAAAGTTGAAGATGAGAAACACTTTGTTATGATTTGCACACAGGACATAACACATAGACTTCATTTATTTAACAAAGCAAAAATTCATATTAGTAAATATTAACAATTCATATTAATTGGGCACAGTGGTGAGAGTGATAAATGTATTTCCACCCGACTGAGGTGCCAACCAATAATTACTTCGAACTT